CAACTACGTTAAAATACATAAGATGAGCTTAAAGTCTAAAAAGGCTCTATAAAACTAACAATCCCTTGATAGATATAAATTGAAAACGTTTTATCGTTATTTTATGAGGTTCATTCGTATTGCGTGCTTATAGTGACCCAATTTTTATATAGGTACCTGCATATTATATATTAATTTTATTATGTTGAGCTATGTCCTGTTGTCTTTAAAAGCTTTGTTTTAATTTATAAATGTGTATAAAGCTGTTTAAAAAAATATAACAATATTTACTTGTCAAATAATATAAGTTATAAATACATTTCAATATTAATTAAACCAAAATAGATAATTATTTATAAACAAATTCAATTATGTTATGTTAAAACACAAATTTTAAGCTGGATGAGTCGAGTTTAAAGAAATTATAATGTAAAAATTGTAGTATAATTGTAGTTTTTAGAAATATAACCTAATTCCCTAATTAATTATATTTACTAATTAATGTTTTCCAAATCAGTTAAAATAATTTAATAATTATTAAAGTATCTAAATTTACTTAAAATTAATAAATTTTATGTTTCAACTCATAAAATAATTTTCGAATAAATTCTTAATAAAATAGTAGGACTATAATATTATTAAGTTCTGGGTTCTTTAAAAATTGTATTAAAATTGTCTTGTTTGAAATATATAAATTATGTATACTATTTTATTAAGAATTTATTCAAAAATTATTTTATGAGGTGAAACATAAAATTTTTTAACTTTAAGTAAATTTAGATAAGTTAATAGTTATTAAATTATTTTAACTGACTTGAAAAACATTAATTAGTAAATATAATTAATTAGGTAATTAGGTTATTTCTAAAAACTACAATTATATTACAATGTTTACATTATAATTTCTATACATTGTATAGACTTATTGTATTTATAATCTATATATCTGTATTTATTTACGAGACTCTGTCCTCAGTGACTGATTCATAATCAACGCAGAGCCGAATAGGTACTATTAGAGCGATCGATTTGAAATGTTGAGGGTCAGAGGGTAGATTGGTATTATAATCTCAACATGCACTAAAAAAGGATTTTGCAAAATGTTAGGGGGGTTAAAATCGGCAAAAAACAAAATTGTACACCTTTATACGTAATGGTTGCTATTGGTTATAGGAGAAATAATTATAGTAGAAATTAGTATTTATTTATTATTGGTTGCCATTGATTATTCGGCTAGATCAGGATAAGCTTGCATCAAATCAAATTTTCGAACATTGACTACAAAGGCGGATGAGTTGCCCTTGTCCTCGACGTATCAGGGTGGCTGAGTTGCACTTACTGCAGTGAGTCCTACCAAAAGGAGTTGAACAATCATACATATATTTTTAAGAGTTGGCATTTTTTACAGGAAATAAAGTGCACAGGATCAGCTAGTATTCTATAATAGGTACTAAGGTACCTATATATATCTGATCAGTAATATGTTTAAAATGTATACTTACTTGTAAAATATTAGGACATTTTATTCTCAATGTATTTTTTTTAAAGTTTTCTCCTTATGTTATTATATTATAGCATTTATTGTCATATATATATTTACTCAAGTAGCTTTTTTTTATTTGGCTATAATGCTATTAGTTGATATATATAATAATATGCGTGTATTTCCATAACTAGTCAAGTCAACGGATATTTTTGGTTTAAAATAGTAGGTACAAGGCAAGCTTTATGATAAGTATGTCTATAATTCTCATGTACCTAACACGTTTGTTATATTGAGTATTTTTCTCGGTTAAAAATAATACGTAATAATTTTATTAGTACCTAATATTCAATTTTAGAGATGAATCAAGGCGTATATTTGCTATATATATGCAAATTTAGTTTAGATACAGCCCATAAAGGTGTTGAGACAACTACAACGAGCATTGTTCTTGTTTTTTTTTTATTCTAGTTGAATAACAAAATGGAATTTATCAAGGCGCTTGCATATGAAATTAGATACTATTTATACCACATTGGTCTCTGGTAATATAATATATTAATGATTTAAATATTAATTTAAAAATAAATAAATGTGATAAATCCTTTGACAACACAACTAAAAAAAAAAAAATGTTGGACTTGTAGTGTATTACCAATGAGTATCTACTTAATATTAGTCGTTGTTCTATGAGTTAAAAATATTATTCGTTATATATTATATGTTATATTGTAATCGCAGTTATGTAGTCATAATTTTTTTAGTGAATATACGCTTAAAATATACGCGTGATAGGTAAACGTGTTGTATTGTCGTATAATAATATACTAAAATACTATGAATACCTATAATAATATAACCAACTGTTTTGATTATGGGAACATTGGGAACCGTCAAATCGATAAGGTTTGTTCAACATTTTTATTTATAAATTCAAATTTATTTATTAAATTAGCTTATAGAATAAACGCATTCCCATACTCGTATACCCTCGCCCCGCTTACCCTGTGTACTCTATATAAATATATATGTCCCACTACACCACTAACTATTAAGTCATGTTATACACGTAAACCGTATGAAAAACTTGAAAACAGCATAACATAATATTATATTAAATTGTATTTCTTAGAAATTATAAATGTACAATTATTTGTATAACTGTTAAAGTAAATATTTCTAATACTATATACATTTTAAAACTAATCGTTACCCACAAAATAAAATACAAGTGTCTATAACGAAACCCTCAAAATGTCTTAGACACCACACCCTTCGATTTTAAAAATCACAATAGACCTTCAACCCCTGCAGCTATCATATTAAATGGGTGTGGCTATATTCTGGCTTTTATTATACCCAGTATTCGATAATTTATTGTTTTATAATAGAAAATTTGAGGTGCCATGTCATGATTCACTCACTAAGCTTCCCGAAGGCAGTATTGTTACCTTTAGGCTTTAAGTATCCTCAGAATAATAAAATAACTATTGTATTGTTAATGAACCCCTGAGTGATCATAAAGTGAATATAATGTTGTCTTAAAATAAGGACAAAAATTCATTAAAATTATTTTTTCCATCTAACAGGTCCTTCTGAGTGAGTACTGTGATGTAAGATTAACTTAGTTTTAGATTTTAATTTTGGTTCCACGCGGGTAATCAAAAATATTTTAACGACGGCAATAACGATATAATAAGGTTTTGGAGAAAGGAAAAACATAGTTGAGTAACAATGCTTTCTTCAAACAATAACAGTAGAGGTTATGTAATAAAAATTGTGACATTTTTTCTGATCTCTATTAAAACAAAAAAGTGTATTATTGGGTATAAACAAATAGTTCATAGTGAAGTGTATTCCATGATGTTAATCTTAATTTAATTACTATTTACATGTGTTTGGAAATGTTTCGTTTAATAGTATAATAGTACAATACCAAAAAATAAATAAATATGTTAGTAGTAAGTACGCTTCATTTGTGTTTTTCATGTAATAATGTAATATCTAAAGAACATTTCTTAATAACTTGTTTTGAAATTGATTTATGAATTGTTTCATTTATATTATAAATAATATGTTTTTATTAATTCAGTATTTTTTTAAATTTAATCATTTACCTTAATGATTAAGTATCTTAAACTATTAATCACTATTTTAATTTAAACTAATTTTATACAATGTCATCATAGTATTTGAAGTGTGGACGCTAAACTCAAAATACTTGGTATTATATTTATTAATGATTTATGTCAGTTATTAATTATTATATTGCATTTATACCTATCTATTGTGTTTTAAATTAAATGTAGCACCTACCTATGTTTATTTTTAATATAACAACTCGATGTCGTCCCCCGCAGGATTTTAAATTAATCAAAATATCTACAGAATATAAAATAAATATACAATAGAAAATGATATTCGTTTCAAAATACGCTATAATTATTTTGTATTTATTTCATAATTCATTACTCATTTTTAATAATAAGTATGGAGTTTACTATCTAGGTAATCGGTAGTATTATTAAGTGTAAAGTTTGAACTATAAAATATGATTTCATATTTTAATACAAAAATAACAATATTTAAAACTAATACATTTATTATTTACACATTTATAGTAAATTGTAATTACTTTTAAATGATAATAAACATTAAGCAATATAATTTCAAGAACAGTGTGGTTTTGATAAAGTTAAATGTATTATATATTAAAACATTATAATTTATATTAAATTACAATTAAAAAATGTAAGTATTTAAATTTAATATTTTTTAATACGTGTAGCCTTGTATGTTAATAATATAGTTATAAAAAAAAAATAATACATTTATACCTAAATTAATCCAGAGAGCAGACCCCAAGAGTCGAAAACTGTAAATATAAAATTATTAGATATAGTACAAAATAATAATTTCAAATTTATTTTGATTTTTAATGATATAATTTTCTCGTGAAATCTGAATGAATAAATCTGTGAATTATGTATTTTACCATTATCTTATCATTTATTAATTTATGATTGTCAATGATTATAAATTACCTATTATATTATACAAAATAATGTTAATTCATTTTATATTCAAATTATCATAATACTTTAATATTATTATAGTAAATGGCAATAATAGTACAATATTTACTCAAATTCCGTAAATAATTAATAATCATCAATCTATTATAATATTATTAACTCTGTAAAAATACAATTTTATAAGTAACCATTGATGCATTATCCATTATAATAATACATAATATGTTTGTGTCACGGGCTAAGATATGTATTCAGTTATCTTGATTCTTGGTATATCTTAGTCCTTGGTTTGTGTGCAATTTAATAATTTTCGTATTCGTATTTGGAAGTCGTTACGAATACTTCGGAGTGTACGAAAGTATAGAATTATTAGAATTGCATAAAGATTAGACATATGACATAGGTGTTCACCTGTATTGATTTATTTATTTGTCTCAACAATAGCAATTGTATAGAAACTTTGAATGAAATAAACCAATTATTAAACAAGATTTTTTTTACAGGCGTCCATGAATTTGCCTGCGGACAAAGCAAAACTCCTAAAGCAGTATGATGACGAAAAAAAATGGGACTTAATTTGTGACCAGGTATTACAAATAAATATATATTTTAATATATTTTTATTATAATAATTTTTTATGGTATAATATTATAAAACTTATTGAAAATTATTATACAAGTTATTATTTAATATCTCTTTAAATTTGCACAGCCATGCAATTTTCTATTTTTATAGTTGACTTTTTTTCCGTGAAATGTACGTGTAAGATAATATTTATAGAATATTATTATAATTTATCATTGACACCTGAACTTGTATATTATAATAAGAACGTATGTAAATTTAATATTTCAACTCAGAATGATGTTTTTACGTTTTGTACAGTTGTATTATTGAGATAGTAAAGAAATTATTGTTGGATAATATTTTGAGTTACGTTACACAGTTATGTAATTGTTAATTCTATAGTAGTATAGAAATAGAGTATACACTATACATACATTTTATACATAATATTATAATATATTTTATAACTGATCATCATAATCATTTGGAATAAAAATAACAATTAATGATTTTAAAATAAAAATTTTGATTTTTTTTTAGTTTTTAATTTAGTAATAATAATTTTAATAATATGTTTATTTGTTTATTTTTATTAATTAAATAATAATATTTTTATGAACACGTGCACACACGTATTACATATAGAACCTATCTTACAATACAGCATAGTTTCACATGTCATATAAATATTAAATACATATTCTTACATTACACTGTATATATTATATTATATAGATTTATTTCGTACCATAATGTCTAAAGTCGCAATTGATCATTGATGGACGGGGGTGGCTATCACCCTCATAATTTATGATATTTATGGTATACTTATATAGTATTAATAAATTTAAATGTACAGTGCAAAGTCATTTGCCATTTTACATATTTTATACTAGTTGTATAACTTGACGTCCTGATTTGTATCTCGATTTTAGTGGACCTCAGTTTATGACAACGCCAATCGGCATCGTTTTCCTCATCTTTTTAACTAATTCGACCCAGATAGGCAATCCACCTGTGGCTTGTGGTATATTTTCGAACTCGGTTAAAACAACTCTGGAAACTGAGTGGAAAGTGTAGCTTTCCTGATATCTCTAAGAACAGTCTCTGACATATTTGTCGAAATCGGTGGAGTAGTTTTCGAATTAATATGCTACAAACATACCTTAATTTATAAATAAATAAATTTGTTTATATTTATGTTAGGTATGTAGATTATATTATAAAAGTCTCATTTTATTATTGTAACCAATGACAACAGTATATATACAACACTAATCACTATATATAAATAAAAAAAAAAATATTCGATTTTGGTGATCCAAAATGAAATTTCTGTGTGAGCAACCTACAGCCACCCAACAGCCACCTTTATGTGTCGAAAAACAAAGGTATAAACACTCCCCGAGTCTCAAATGAATAACATGTGCACAATTTGGTACCTTCTGATCGCCAAACGGTTCAGTATTTTCCAAGATTACCAGATACAATAGAACTTCGATTATCAAGAACAAATATCAAACGTAATTTATGTATCCAAACGCTTTGTTATCTGTATTTATGTATAGTAAATTAATGTATATAATAATTCAATATTATTATTAATAATACATTATAATTTATGAATATCAATATATCATATAATTATATGGTATTATGTATGATTTTTTCATGATATAATATTACATTTTATGACATTAAATATATATGCAAATACATAAATAGATAATATTATATAGTACTAAAAAAATTCCCAATATCTGAACTTTCACATTACTGAACTAGATGCAGTCCCAATTAGTAATTCGGTTCTACTGTACATGCAAACTCACAATCATATTTCAATATAAAGAAAGAAGAAGATTTGATTGTTAAATGCCAAATGGGGGGGGGGCAAAGTTGGTCATTGAGTAATAGACTATGAATCATGATCATAACACTAACTGAAAAGATAAAATAGAGCTTTAGCACCCCTAGTTTATTAATTGAAATACCCATGACCATGAAAGATATTATGACAAATAAATATGTAAAATATTTTGGAATTTATGGAAGGCTAAGCTTATTTTTGAAGTAAGAGTGCATAATTTAAAACAATAGAAAATAGTGTCTCAACTATAAATTTATATGTAGGTGTCTCGTATATACCTACCAATTTAGTCTAATATGTTTATGACTGTAAGAAGTCTAGACATACTACTATACTAGACATTGTTGGTGTCTACATTTTATTTTTGTGCTACAAAAAGAAATTAGTATAAATTATAATGAAGAAAAATAAAATTATATAAATGCTATTTTATTATATTGTAGAACTTAGATATTTGGGTAATATTATATTTATACATGCCACATGGTAATATCTATCAATTATGTTTTTATTATATTGTTTAAGCATTGCCTAATGCCTTTAGATAGCTCTATTTTGTCTTACGTGAGCAACCAGCAGAGTGGCGCAGTGGAAGCGTGCTGGGCCCATAACCCAGAGGTCCGTGGATCGAAACCACGCTCTGCTAAGAATTTTTTTGCACTTTTTTACGTTATTAACGTAATTATTTTTATAATATTGTATAAGATAACGAAAACATGATTATTTTAATAATTAAGCCATTACTTTTAAGTTTTAATACACTGATTTCATTTAAATTTGTAGTGTACAATTGCGTATATGCGTAGTAATGTAGTATATAAGTACATAGACGCCTGTGAAATAAAATGATTCTCATAAATTGTGTTGTACATTTTATTAAATTTTGAATAAGTTTCACTTAGTCTTGTACCAATTTAAACATTTAGTTGAGTGACACTGCAAGAAGCAAGTGCATCATTACATCGTTTAAACATTTATTCGGCATCGTTCCCACCGTGTGTGTGTACCGGTAGACCGGATATTGTGTATTCACGGGTACAGACACATGTCGCCTTGTTTCATTATGGGATTACGTCATTAAGCAGCTTTTTATATAGACGATGATGTTTGTTTAATTATTACATGATTTCCCATCTTTTTTTTAATTTATTTAAAATGTAAGATCTGGTGGCTCTATAAATAAAGGTCGTACTTCTTTTTTTTTTTTTAATTTACTTAATTGAAAAAAATAATTATACGATAATGAATGGTTATTGAGAATATTATTTTCACTTATACATTTGAATGCCAATTCAATTACAATAATTATTTTATTAAATTTATTCGTGATGGTGAATTTTAAACTTTTAAGACAACACGTAATAATTAATTAATGTATGACAATACGTAAGATTTTTATTTATTACCTATTGATAATTTGTATAAGCATCAATATTCAATAAAATCAAATTATGTAATATTTAATGTTTTTTTTTTTTTATTCAAAAAGTAGGTATCAATAAATGTATTGATTTTACAATTATGTGTGGTTTTGTTTTTTGTGTCTGCAGAAAAAATACTTCAATTTTAAACTTCAATATATTTTCTGTTTGAAAGTGAATTTAGTTCAAAACTTAAAATGCCCAGTACTTTTCTTAATAATTGGAAAACACACGGAAACAAATAGGGGAAAACTGGAATTTTTACTCAAAACCAGTTTTCTTCAAAGACAAATTACTGTATATATACTATAGTGTATATTATCTATTATAATTTTCACCAAGTATTTATTTTAACATTTTATACATATAGTATAATTTTTGACTCTCTTCGAGTTATTTATAAACATTAATTAACATCTTTTTTTTTATATAAATATTAAAAAATTTTCACTCGGGCAAAAACCTTGACTATTTAATATACGTTTTTTCATAACTCATTAGCAACATCATTCTGAAACCAAAAATCTAAATAATATATTGTTTTTCATATGCATTGATTTATCATTGAATTCAAATTGAACACATACATTAGAGTAATACAGTGCCGTATATATATAGGTACTCAATGACGAGGTACACTAGACATTTACTGTACAGCGGTTACCTCCTTTCGACCTTTCCTCATTTTTATTATATACATTATATATTACATATTGGATCAGTTTATATTTAGTTTATAATAGGTATCGTTACTTTGAATTTTTAATAATTTATAAGTTTTGAAATAATTTTACTGAAGTTTTTTCGATAGAATCTATGCTGATTCTTTCTATTTATTTAACTAATCTAAATTATATATAAATGTGGTTTTATAATTTTTTTCCATATATCTTTAAAAAGTATTGATTTTGGATCTGTAATTCTTGATTTATTTTTATCAGCTTATATATTATTATGCTAATTTATAGTCTTTTGTAAAATAAATGTTTTACTCTTATTAATATCAGAGATTACATACCTCGGATATTCTTTTTTTTAAATACAAATTTAACATACAAAGTTATTTTAGAGGAAATGTGTTTATTCTAATGATAATAAACACTTCCTGTATAGTTACTAGTTAGTACCCTACGAATCAAGACGTGATTAGACTATTATATTCAGTTATTTTATTACTAGGAGTTATAGGATGAAAGGTTAACTATTGCCCAAAATATTAATATTATATCAACTAAACTAACTACACATAATATTATTTTTATAGTTTATGTAAAATTTTTTATATGGTCCTACAAATTGTACTTGAGATATGTTATTATCTTGTTAGTATAAATATCTTGTCATCGAAGGAGACATTTAATCAATCTTTAATATTTTTTTCAATGTTAAAAAAATGTCTAGGTTAGATAGAAGATAAGTCCTCGTGTTCCTAGTATCCCTGTATTGATAATCAGGGTTTGGAAAAGAGAAACTATTTCTTAAAAATAATTAAATATTTATATTAGAATCTACCGAAACGAATTGATGATTTTGATATATTTAAAGAAAATAGGAACTGGCGACCCAGAATATAGATTAATATACCCGTAGTTTTTTTTTACGTTTTTTGTTGGAGGTACTTAACTATATAATTTATTTTAGTTTAGTTGCCAAATTTTAATTTTATTTCTTTGTATTTAATATTTATCATTACATTAACTATATAAGTTATAATCCTAATGGTACCGT